GATTAAATATACTATTTATTAAATGCACTGAATTCAGGTGAAGAAGAAGCTGATTTTAAGCCTTATTTTGATGCAAATATGTGTTGATTATCAGGAATGTAGCACAACATGAAAGTGAAAGTTAAAATACTTGTTTATAATACTTAATACTTGTTCATTTTATTTTGCTTCCAGGAGATGTTCTGTGGATAAGGACCAGTCTTATTTGGATGCAACGATTTGTTCATTGGCAGGAAGTGAAATGTGAAAGCACAAAAACAATATTTAGTCCCTTAAATCAATAAATAATGGTGATCTCAGTATTGATCAAATATAATCGTGCAGCCCAGTGAGAGAAAGTCCAAAAGCATGAGCTGTTGTCCCCATTTGTACGATTCATTGCCTCGAGACTACAAAGACTCACAAAAGGCTCAGCGCTCTTGGAGAGAAATCGAGGAGGAAGAGGAGGAAGAGGAGGAGGTGTTCATAACAGCAGGCTTTTCGCCCCACCTTCACGTTGAAATGTAAACACTTAGACGTGATTGGACAACGCGTTGCCCAAACTTAATTCTTTCAAGCATCCTCGACCCCCTAATGCATTGTTGGTTCTGGTCTTTCCCTGGAATGAGTTCCACTGATGAAGATGAATGAATAACGCAAGTGTTCTCCGTTAAAAAGAGCTTATGTAACCTTCTTTTTTATAACAGCGGCCATCGAAACCTGAAGTTTGCTAACATTAGCCGCCATAAGCAGCTGCTCATACAGACGGTCGTCAGCAGCAAATCCTCTGAGTGTATTGTGTTACTTCGGAGTATGTTTTACATCTTATGAATTGTTCATCTCCAACAGTAAGAAATGTGTTATTCCGTCTCTCAAAAGCTCCATAGTCTGCCTTTATATAATTAGACGTGTTAATTTATTTAAGCACCACCAAAGAGAGATGGATTTAAAATGACGTGTGTGTGTGATGTGCGTAGAGGTGCACACACGCTCCAATGTAACAGAGGCCTTGAATATTTATATATTTGTGCGTGAAGGGTTGGCTGCCTCCAGTGGGACAGAGGTGTTGGTGGGCTGAGCGGAGGGAGACGGGAGTTGGGGAAAGATGGAGGGGGAAAGAGAGAGTCCCTCAGGCGTGTCCGGGCTCTGATGGCTCCCCTGACAACCTCCTCTGTAATGGTCTCTCTCTCTCTCTCTGAGTGCTGTGAAATTGCAGGCCGGCGCTCTACAGCTGAGGACTCGGTGGAGACAAACGGCCTTTTAATTCAGAGCGCGGAGAGGTGACGGAGAGGGAGGCCCTAAGGGAGGGCTACCAGTCAGACATCCATCATACTAACCTCTCCCTTGGGACTGGCCCTGCCAAAGAGGGGGCCCTGGAGGTGGTCTTGGGCGTGCATGTGTGCGTGGGAGCGTGCGTGTGCGTGTCTTTGGGGTTGGGGGTGACGCCGCATGCTGCAGGTCTGCTCAGGTGTCCAGGCTGTCAAGGTGCAGAGTGGAGGGGAGCAGAGGAGGTGGGAGAGTTCTTTTCTCTCCGTGTATGTGTATATGTATGTATAGAAATATATGTCTATGTATATGTGTGTATATGTATGTATGTATACTTATGTATACGTATGTATGTATATATGTAGGCGTATATACGTATGTGTGTGTATGTGTATATATATATATATATATACGTTTGTATATATATATATATATACGTTTGTATACGTTTGTGTATATATATGTATACGTTTGTGTATATATATACCTGTATGTATATATATATATACGTATATGTATATGCGTATGTATATGTATACATTTATTTATGTATATATACGTATATGTATGTATATGTGTGTATATATATATCCTTTCCATTTCAGCTCACAGTGCTCAGCAACAACCACAAATAAGAAAACTACTTCACCAGGAAGAAGCTTCTCTTTGCTTGTTTTAAAAAAAAAAAGAAGTTATGTCTGAAATTCAATGATTGCAAACATCGACCTTTTTCTTTCTCTGTCATCTTCAGAGCTCAGACTCTGTCGGAGCTCGTGCTGAAGGGACACGCGAGGGTTCAGGGTTGGTGGACGTGGCTCGCAGCGTCTCTGTTGACACCGAGATGTGCAGCTGCAGAGGTATTTCATGAAGGCCTCTCAGCAGAGAAAGAGGGCTGATGCTCACATGTTGGTCCTTGAAAAATATCTGTTGTTGATGCTGTGTGTGCAACCAACAGAGCTTACATCCTCCAGGATAGATAACTAGATATAAGGTTATTATGCCATTTATAAAATGGTTCATAAGGCTTATTCCTGTATGATTTTGAATCCTTTATGAATCGTCTTCTGTGACGTTTACGCCGCTCAAAGTCTCTCTGATTTTTATTTAAAGAGCCGAATAACAGCGACCCATCCTTCACGTGTGTGAAGGCTTCTCTGAAAATGTTTTGTGAGGATGCAAAAGAGACGGGATTTTTTTTACCACCGAGCTTAAAGTGAAATCCAGGGTGAAGATATTTGAGCTTCACTTTCAGATTGCATAGAATTTAAAAGATTTTTAATGGGAAATGTTTTGCTGCAGTGTTTTAAGGATAAAAGTATAAGTCTGTGTTGAATACAGCTTACATTTAATAAGCAAAACATTTAATCATGTGTCAATGACGCGAGTATGTCTAATCAGTGAGTTCATGTATTATACCATCGTACCATGACGTGTCATGTTTTACTCCACGTGAAGTATTCAAGGGTGGTGTTTTCAAACATAAATCTATGAAACCAGGAGAAACCTCGCGGGGGAGAAGCATCAAAAGGGAAATAAAATGTAAAGTCCTTGAAAGGAAAACGTAGAAGAATTGATTTAGTCTCTCCAGGAGGACCAGGACACGTCGGGGGTCACGGAATCAACTGTACAGAAGCAACGTGTGATCATGTAACGTAGGAGAGTCCCCCGGTAAAGAGAGAGCCTGTTGCTGTCCTTGGTGCTTGCTGCCTTTTCAGCACCACGGACAGCTCCCTCGTGTCTCTCCACAGGTGAGTGTCTGGCTGTGTGAGGGGACGTTCGGTGTGCACAGCCGAGCAACAGCAAACACTTCGTCTTTCTTCTTTATCCTTCTGCACAATGCGGACATGGCTACGTTCAAACAAGGAGATGATTGCCTCACATGCTCTTTTTCCCACCGTTTTCTCCTCAACACCCCCCTCCCCCCTTCCTTTTTGTTCTCCCTCCCTTGTTTTACAGGCTAAAGGGCGCTGTGTTAGGAGCTCGGATAATTGGGGAAACTCATTCAGCCCCGTCTCCACAAAGGCCCGGAGCAGCCAGGTTAAAGCACCGCTACCTGGAGGATAAATCCACACTCGGTATCTTGGGCGCTAATTCTGATGGAGAAAGTCTTAATTATTTACACGAGAGGTGGAGACTTCTTCTGATGGTTGTGTCAACGCAACATTTTAGGATGCCAAAAAGAATAGGAGTCATTGCAGTCGGGAAGAAAAACACAAATAAAGAGGCATAAATGCATGAAGCTCAGGTGGTGTCGGCCATTATTTGTAAAGTTGGTGGTTTCATGCCTGGCTTCTGTGCCCTTGAGCAACACAAGGACACTTTGTGTTGCTCAAGGGCTGTGTGTGTGTGTGTGTGTGTGTGTGTGTGTGTGTGTGTGTGTGTGTGACAAAAATAAAGTAAGTTGGTCAAAAAAATCTGCCAAATGAATGTAATGCAAATTAATTTTCATTTTGATCCCTTTCATCTGGCTGATAGATATTAGATAGAATGATAAATAAATAGGTGGATTTAATATAATATTGTTTGACACTAACAATTACGATGGATCGATATAGATGTAGATAGATATAGATATATATGGATATATAAATAGTTTTATATATAGATACATATGGATATAGATAGATTTAAAGAAATAAATAGAAATAGATGGATAAAGAAAGATATATAAAGATATAATATTGATACTTTAACAAACAAAGATATAGATGGATAGATGGAATATAATGACACTAACGGGCCTGTTTGTTTGTGTGTTCCTCTCTAAATGTTGTCTTGGACGACCTATAATCGTGTAAAATGAGTCAGAATTCACACCTAATGTCATTTAAATGAATCATCATTAACCCGGGAAGACAAAAAAAGCCCCTCAGCCCTCCACTAACATGAATTAACGTATCGCATGTTTGCTTAACTGCAAACTAACAAAAAAAAAAACCCCGAGCCTGTTGGTAAATATTGAAATTCCTCTCTTTTCGATCGGCGGTCGCTCAGTTTAAAGCGCCGGGCTTCTCCCTATTGCTGAGCTGCAGCTAATCCATCGCATTTCCCTGTAAATAGCTTTCTGCATGAGAAAAGGGGCCCCCGAAGCCGCCCCCCCTCCTCCACAGACCGGCCACAGTGTGATGCACGGAGCGTTTTGTCACAGGGCCATTATGAGGCTTGTGTAGCATTAGCGCTTGTTCGGCTACTCCCACCGCCGCTGCGTCCATTCACATTCATGCGCTCGCTTCTTGTGCACGTTCTACAGGTATTTCCTAACCTCCCTCGTGCTTTGTGGACTTCCAAGTTGAAGGTCCGATCACGAATGTTAGGGAGGGGGGGCGGTTCTTTGGGCGTTTATTTTCCCTTTTATGAAGTCAGTGATGTCCCCTCCAGTGAAAACCTTCCACATGGATCCGCAGGCCTCTTGCTTGTGATTTCAGGGTTCGCTCGGAGGCTACTGCTATGAACGCGTAACCATAACAACTGCGTTCTGATTGGCTCTCCCCTGCACGAGGAGAGGAGGAGGAGGGGGGGGAGGAGA